TGTGTATTACAATATATGGGAACTCTGATGGAGTAGTGCCTAAGGCATTTGACTGCTAACCAGAAGGCTGGTGGTTCAAACCTACCAGCCACTCCTCAGAAGGAAGATGGGGCCATCTACTTCCGCAGTGATACTGCCTTGGATACTGCCAAGGAGGGGTTGCTATGAGTCGGATCTGACTCGACGGCAGTGAATTTGGTCTTTGGTTTGGTATTATAATATACACTAATATCATCAATATATCACGATGCAGTATACTACCCAGAGAGAAAAAAAAATGTGCCATAGTGCAGGGAGTAGATATGGTAAATGCCACAAGAAAATTACAAATGAATGGGGTTTATTTTATTCTGTGTCCATCAGGGTATTCAACTATGGAATGAAGCAATATGAAAGTCCTACATTCTTCTAGATCCTCAGGGAGGTATCACCACTACATGTGTCAAATACGAAAGAGGAATGGGAACACCTGTGGGTGCACACAGAAATAGGCTTTCTCTCAGGCCTTGACTCCACTATGGCAAGTGTGGTCAGCTGTTTCTCCCGAAAAACCTGAAATAAAGCTAGAACAACCTGCCACACTGAAATGGGGAATGACTGGGTAATCAGGAATAACTACTGAACAATTTCATTTACTTAAGGAATAGTACTGAATAAACTCAGATAGGTCCCTGTCCTGGCTAGGAATAGCCTTAGCATTAAGCTGGAGAAAAGGCAAAAACAGACTAGAGAAAAAGATTCTGCAGACACCCACCACCTCCTGAAAGACAATGAACCTCGTAAAAGTCAAGGTCCTCGGGGAAATTTACACAAGGACCCAGTATATTCCACTGTGACACTATATAATCATTTAATCTTTACTTAAATATACAGACAGATTTGCAGAATTTGAAAGTCTGAGATGTAAACACAAGATCCAGGTTAAGAAGCAAGTCTCAAAAAAGGCATGAGAAAAAGGCTCTAGAGGACCTCTGCAAAATACAGGATTCTAAAAATGCATCCCAAAATGGTAACGTCTAAACACAGGAGCCCAGAGGAGAATGCAGAGTCTCCAAAATAACAGTAACCAATGCCGAGATGCAGTCCTGAAATGCATCTGAAGTGCAAATGACTCCCAGCCAAAGGCTCACAGGGAAAAGGCCACTCCCAGGCCATCAAAGGTTGGCAGCAAGCTGTAGAAAAGATGAATGTCTTAGAAGGCAGAGTAGAACCTGGAAGAATTTAAGCAAACTGATGAGAACACATCAAAAGCCCTCAGATAACGAGCAGCAGAGACAGGATTAGAGCGAGGTCTTCTGACCTGCTTTCCAATATCCCATGCTCTGCGTTTACACGGCCTCCTATGGAGTCTCCCAGCCAGGAATCAGGGCTAATGTGCAGGACTAGAGGCAAGAACTTGGTAAGGTCCTCAAGGGAGAGGAAGTCCTACCTATTGCAGGAAAAGATGCATTCCAGAGGGGCAAGACTAGCAAAGAGCATGAGGGCCACAGGCTCCAGCAGCCCCAGTCCTCTTAAGAATGTTTTACTTCCAGCCATTCTGTCTTCAGGGTTACTCTTAATAGCACATAATGCTTTGGCAGCTTTTCTTGTTTATACTTCCAGGTCTTTTCCCTGCAATTCCTCTCCTAATAGGTTCCATTGCTCAAGGACTTGAATCAATTCCCATAGAACCATAATGTCAGTGGTCCACGGGGATATCCTCTTTGTGAGACCTGAGCTGCCTTGATGTGAAGTTTTTCCATTTATGGTCTCCTAAATCATTTCATACCTATAGCTCCTAAGAGCAAGATGATGTCATTTAAGTATTAGTGTAATCACTTGAATTTAGGAGTAAATGGTTCTTGTCCAGGTCATTTTATACTTGGATTACAGTAAGAAGTTCCTGGATGCAAACAATTAATGCACTCTGCTGCTAACCCAAAAGTTGGAGGTGCAAGTCCACTAAGACATGTCTCCAAAGAAAGTCCTGGTAATCTACTGCCAAAAAAAATCAGCCATTGAAAACCCTATGGAGCAGAGTTCTACCCTGACACCATGAGGTCACTATAATTGGAGCTGGCTTGACAGCAGCTACTCAGTTTTTAATAGCTCTCCAGAGGGTCCCATGTTTCCAGATCTGCCTCCATGAACCCCCTCTACAACCTATTCTTCACTCAGTATACAGATCTTCCCCGCCCCAGCACATATAAAAAACCCACTGCCATTGATTCCAACACATAGTAACTACAAGACAGAACAGAACTGCTCCATAGGGTTTCCAAGGCTGTAGATCTTTATGGGAACAGACTGCCTCATCTTTCTCCCATGAAGCAGCTGGTGGGTTCGAACCACTGACCATGCTTTAACAACCAGTGCCAAATAAATGGTCTAACCACTGCACCACAAGAGCTCCTCTTACAGCACATAGCTCTTTCAAAAACGTCAGAGCATAACAGTAACCTACTCAAAACCCTCCTATCATTTCTCATCACACTCATAATAATATCTGTACTCCCTTGTAAGGACTCCTGTGCACTTCCATGACCTCCTCTCCTACACTTCCCTCCCACTCTGGCTGCTCCAGCCACACCAACCTTCCAGCTCCTCCACAAAATGCCAAGCCCACCCGCCTCAAGTCTTCATACTTGCTGCTTTCTTGGCTCGCAGCTTACTTCCCCAGATCTTGGCAGAGCTTGCTCCTTCCGTTAATTTATGTCTTTGCTCAAACATCACCTTTTCAGGAAGGCTTTCTCTGACCCCATTAACTAAAATAGCACAGCCCATCTACTTTCATCTCTTTTCTTCTTACTCTGCTTTATTTTTTCATCATACTGCATATGTCCTTACTAGCTTATATTCTGTCTCCCCATTAAGTCAGGAGCAATGCATGGCCATTGCTATATACCCAGCATTTTAAAAGCACTGAATTAACTATCTGTCTTGTATGTGTGTTAATTCAAGAAGATTCATGGGTTATTTAGCCTAGTCAGTGAAAGCCTGGCCAATCTTTATAAAAGCTTCATCAGTATCAGTTAGCACCATAAAAGGAGTGCCCTCTGACCTTCCCTTTGAGACAACCTGATGCAATAGGGCACCCTCTCCAGTCTGTGTCATTGTCATCTCTCCTGTAGAACCCATGGCAGCCAGAGCAACAGTCAGCACAAGGGCTATTCTGGAACCACAGGCTCCACCTCCCCCACAAACTGTGGGCCCTTAATTAGAGTTGAGAGCTATAAGCCATAACACTGCCTGGGCCATGGACCTTCCTCTTTTTCCCCACCAGGCAAAGAAGGTATAGGGAAGCAAGAGGTGGCAATAAGTTTGTTTTTGCTTTACACATATATGGTAAATTAGTGTATTGTAGGTAAGAAACCTCCTAGTTAGAAGAAAAGAACTTGCTCTTGATTTTATCTCATTAAGATTAAGGAAAGTACAGATGAAATAGGTTGTTCTGAATACCAATGCCTATAGAAATATCACTAAAAACATGTTTCCAAGTGTTTGCTACTGGAAGTCTCCAGAGTGGCCTCTGGCTTTTGAGGTGAAGCTGATGTAGAATTTGCATAATATATGTGACATCACAGACAAGGTGTCAGCATTTCATGGTTTCCTCTGCCTATCCTCCATTCTTATAACCTCTCTCCTGCACCTCAACCAACCCATGCAAGAATTCCTAAATATCCAAGGGACTGGAAACTACAAGAAGCCACAAGCCTAGCTCCAAATGAGTTCACGTGAACCTTGAACCACAGGCTAGTTAGACTAGGCAAGAGACAGTGACTTATGACAATCAAGATTGTTACCGCAGCAGGCCTACTGCCTTCTTAGAGCCAAGCAGATCTTTTCATCTTAG